CAGCCACAGCAGTGGCAAAAGCCAAGGCTGATTCCTGGGAGAAGTTCGGTGAGGTGTTGGAGTAGAATTTGCACACGGCAAACAAAGTATTCTGGCAGACCATCCGCCGGCTCCGAGGTGAAAACACGGGTAGTCTCAAAGTCTTGAAGGACAGAGCTGGACACCCTCTTACCAAGGATGATGACATTCTTCGGCGATTCAGGGAGCACTTCGAGGAACTCCTTAACCCCACGTAGCTGCAGGAAGACTCGCCTAGATGAAATTACACGAGACGTGAAAAGCTTGAAAAATGGAAAGGGTGCTGGAATTGATGAAATCCTCCCTGAGATGCTCAGAGCATTAGGCGAAAAAGGCATGTGCTGGCCTACACATGCCTGTCAAACTGCGATCACCGCGGGAAAGACACCTGCGGACTGGCTGGACAATGGAAGCAATTGTACCCGTATTCAAGAAGGGAGACCACATGCAATGCTGCAATTATAAGGGCATTACGTTATTGAGCCTCCCAGGTAAAGTCTACGCAAAGGTAATGGAAAGGATTTGTCGCGAAATAACTGATCTCAAGATACAAGAGCAGTGCGGCTGTCGGTCCGATCGAGGCACCTCTGACCATGCATTAGCCTAGAGCCAGATTGTTGAGAAATCGTGGTAGTACGATCGTCTGGTGAATATGTTCTGTTGACCTAGAAAAAGCCAACGACCGGATCCCGCGCAACAGTCTGTGGTTATGCCTTCGAGCATATAGGATAGATGACCAACTGCTAAGGGCATCCAATCACGGTATTCTGATAAAAGGTGCTCCGTCGGAACAAATGGCGTTAAGTCGAAACTTTTCAACGTTGGCAGCGCCCTTCGTAAAGGCTGCGTTCTATCCGCTCTCCTGTGTATGTTGTAGATGAACAGAATAGTCAATCGGTGTGTATTGGTATAGGAGATGTCGAGAGGAGAAGGTTTCTGTTGTTAGACGACCTTGTTTTGTTGTCATCTTCTGAAACTGATCTACAGTGCTCCCTGGAAAGGATCGCAAACGAGTGCGAGGTGAAAGACATGCATCTAAGACGAAAAGCCTGGTGCTTACTGGTTCTCTTGCCCTTTGCTCTCATTTGATAAACGGAGAGGCAGTGGAGCAGGTGGAAAAGCTGAAGTACCCCGGAGTCATGTTTACTGGTGGTGGAAAATCTGAGGAAGAAATCGACCGAGGTATTGGAGTAGCCAGTGGCGTTTCGGGTGAGCTCACTCGAACCACTGTTACTGAAGAAGAGTTGAGTCTGAAGACTGTGTTCTGGGTGTTCAATTCGACATTGATTACCATGCGTACCTACGGTAATGAATTGCGAACCATGGCTGAATAACTCTGATTGCGAGTACAATCAGCTGAAATGGGCTGAGACGAGTTGCCGGCTTTCCTCGTCTAGGTATGATCCGGAGTACCGAAATCCTCTGGAACCTTGGTGTGCGACCGCTGCTTCTTCTGACTGAGAACTCACAGCAGCAATTGTTTGGGCACATGTTGCGAATGTGTCGGATATGGAAGATTAAGCAACTTTTATTTGCCCCGCCAGCCGACAGAAGACTCAAAGAACGACAAAGATCATCCTGGAGCAAATATATGGAAGAAGTTTGCTACAGATTCGAGTTATCTTCTACCGAGGCCCAGACTTTTCCACAAGACAGGAAACGTTAGAAGCACTATCTGTAGCGTCTGCCTCCGCGACCCGAGAGGATAAACAGCTAAGGAAGATGAAGATTTTCTGGAGTAGCACGGAAGAACCGCTGCCCCTGTCAGGCTGTTCGCAACAACAGCAGCGAATCTTAAAGATTCGAATGTTTTGAAAAAATTCGATGTAGACTTTAGTGCTTTTGGAGAATGTCATAAGATCTCTCATAATTTCATAATTTTGTTGTTTTAAAATTTCTATTAGATGAAATAAAACATTCAACTCCAAACTTGTGCATGAGGTGCAAGACAACGCTTTGAATATGTAAAAATCTATTATTAGCAACAGGATTCTTACTTTTCAAAACCGGGTGCGAACATCTGACCAAATTTCGTAATGACATTTTTTCGAAAGCACCGAGTCAACCGCTTGTTGCTCACACAAACTGTCTACTGTAAATTATATTCAAGTTCAGTTCATCTCGTGATACAACGACTGCAATTACTAATTATTTATACATCAAATGTGTTTTAATTGCCATGTTATCATAATTTTGTATTTTTTGACGAAACTGCCTGTAATTTTCATAATGTTTAATTACAATAACGAAATGTGTAAATGCTATTTGATAAAACTAATCACTAACATTGCATAAAAATTAACAATGCTTAATGTACTCCTGTCCACTATCCATTGGCCGAGGTGAGGAGTTCCAGAGGAGTGCATAGACCATTTTTATGAAAAAATGTGTGATGTAACGGTCTTATTCTTATAGTGGGTGTGAACAGTTTGCTAAAAAAATTTCTTTACTACACAGTTAACATTAATCCACCTACAAGTAGGCTGAAAATATCATCACAGCCAACGCGTGTATCGGATAAGTCTACAACAAGTTAAGAGAGATAATTATCGGAAAGACGAAAAAATAACAAACCTACTTATCTGGATACCGGGCCTTCTCACACAACAGTGTATCTATAAACATATCGATGTGAATGAGTCAATTCATTTCTCATGCCGTGTGTATAAGAAATCAGTCTTCTATTTATAGGGAAGAAACTGTGCCAATGCAAAGTCTCCTCATTTGCAGTAAAACAAAAGGCATTGATCGAAATATTCCAACACGGAAGCTCTTGTCTAACTGGTTGTTCAATCAGGAAGTATATTTGTGAACATACACCAAAGTGGCAGTGTCGAATGATATGAGAAGGGGCAAAATTCCCTCCCTATCCCAGAAAATTTATAATACACCCATCTATCTTTAACTGTACCTTGGACTCCACGCTATCAGACATTAAAGAAAAATTTCTGGTTCATTTTACGATTCAATACTTATATTTCTTTATTACTGCGCATGTTCTTTGGGTGGATTAAGTAAGACACCAAGTGAATGCGTTACTGTATCATCGAGGTTCCGACGCACATATGAGCACAAATTGGAGTTCTTTTCTGCTCATGAGCACCGCAATGTTCCATTTCAGCAGGCCAGGCCTGATAGACATGTGCCTTGATTTTAAGCTGTTTCTTCTGTACCCAGCCTTTCAAACTCCCCACCGACTGAAATATTAACTGGAGAATTTGGAAGCAGACAGATTTTTTCATTGGCCTGTAACCCTCATAACTACTTTTAAATCGTTTTATTTACTACATGCTTGTACATAGTAATTCCTAGTAAACTGATGGCGCCTGATCTTCTGTGGTCACGCCATCGCCATCAACTGTATTGTAAATAACAGCTGAACCTTGAGATGTTACGAAACTTTCTAAAGTATGCCAATCAACAAAAATAATATTTTCTTCATATTCTGTTACTACATCTCAATGCCATTTGACCCTAAAACTGTTAGGATTTACTTGGCATTTGCAGCGCTAGGACAATAAAACAATTATATTGGTAGCCATTAATCACGCTCGTCATGTGGCTTTGCGTTTTCGAATAAACCTTGACGACACATCTGAGCGGCAGTCCTCTGCCCGCTTTATAATAAAAATTATGCAAAGTTTGGCTAAAACTACGAATGTGTTTAACCCCTCCTTGAAAACTTGCATGAGTATGCATCATCAGAAGCGTATGCATATTTTATGCTTACAAGTTGAATTGCTTAACATGCTCAGTAATTTGGTTCCGCAAATTGCTAGTTAATTAACATATTGTCGGTTGTTATTAGTTGCCACTAGAAACAGGTGAATGATCTCTGATTTTTACAGAAATCAGACTGTCAGTAAATTAAACCACATGGCTTCTTAATTATTCGATCTTTGAAACGAGCGCAAACATTTCATGAATTCAACTTCTTCAGATGATCAGCACAAGAAATTCATGGTTCGGAATGGCGTAAGCGAAACAACCATAAAAGTCAGTCATTCATACGCGAATGACGAAATTCCTCGGCAACTGAAGACGTGTAGGCATTACAGCGCCATTAACGATAAATCAGATATCTCGTAGCCGTTAAGGGCGCCCGATGAGTGACAGTTTGACCAAGAACTAACCTCGATGGAACAGATAGCGGGAAATGCAAAAACGTAGGCCCATAGC